CATGATAATTTACATTCTTACTTATTATAAATATTGTCAACTGTCTCATGTTGCAAGCATATTCTTCTATAATAGCAATTTCTAATTTATCCTTTAATGAATTCCAGTCATCTTGGATTAGATCCAATAATCGCTTCAACTATATGTTAGTTATTTTCTTTACCAATGTGTAGAATACAACTTTACAAATGTTGTAGTTAACTATTTAAATCAATAACTTATCTTATTAAACTTTACTTACATCATCTGCTAGAATGATGAAACCAACATATTTTATTATAACATATACAGAAGGAAAGAAAAATGACAAAATCTCAAGAAGAAAATGTGTGTCATATTGCTTTGTAACAAATGCCAGGAACTAGAAACAATATTTAGAATATATAGAATGTACGAAAATGTATCGAAATCGCTTAATATTTCGAACGATAAATATTTTCGAAAAAGATGTTACAAGAAAAAGTTGTAAAGCTCCGAGGGGCCATCATAATTGTGATACTGATTCACTCGCAGATGGAGCTACTGTCGATATCTTTTTAAACGTATTTATAAACTTTTTGTTACATAATATGATTCCTCTAATCATTTTGAATAAAAGTATAATTATCAACAGTCATCAGTAGTTTACGAAATAATTTATACTTTATTGTAGCATATTTTGACGTCTGAAAATAGAAAATATTTTGTAAACTGTTCGTTTTTTTTATAACCATATTTTAATATTTTATACACAAAATAATGTGACATTAATTGATATGAAAAAAAGTATATTGTTGTTTTACAAAAATTTATACAAGTACATGCTTTTTATAAAAGCAACTACTTGTTTTTTCTGTACCAATCTGTTTCATTATTTTATATATAACAATCGAAGTTTTTGAAATTTTTTTTAAATTAAAGCTTAAAGTATTAATAATATTTTCAAAGTCTTAAAACAGAATTCTCAATATTTACGATGCTAAAATTTCTTTTCGTTAGACGCCTCTAAGCTTTCTGCATTTCTCAATGTTTGAATATAGTGTGTTATAGTTCTTTAATTATAATATTTTTACGTGGCGCTGTTTTAACTTATTATTTGTTTATTGGATATATTTCTAAATGATGGTATTAATTCATAAAAATGTGTCACTGTCACTAGCCATACAAATGATTATGCGAGTCAGAAAAGCTGATTTGGATCTTCATATCTACAAAATCGTCCACATCTAAGTATTGCTGAGAAAAGAAATAATAATTCCTATTACAAAGCATGAATGATAGATTAACGATAAATAAAAAAAATTAGTATTTTTACAAAAAGATTTATCAATTTAAACATTAAACTTTTTTTTTTCAAAACCATGTTTTCATTTAAGACTCATAAAAACCATTTGATGAAAGCCACCCGAACTTATCTGATAAAAATCATCCGAACACATAAAAATCATCTGATTTGTCTGAAATTTTAATAAATTATAGTCAATATTTTAATTTAGCGACGTACTGATCATTTTTTCATAATTGTATTATCTTTTACAGACAGAAGTTGAAATTTTTAAAGAAATTTTCAATTTTTTTTCAAAATGACCGCAAAAACAAAAAATCAATTTTTCCAATATCTGGCCAGTTGTTTCGTAAGTTAAGGTTTACTTTTTATAAACATAATTAAATTTTTAATTTTAGATAGAAATTTGAAACTAATAAATAAATTGTGAGCGAACGATAATCATGCATTTTATGCATGACATTGTCTTTTATCATATATATTTTTGTTCAATGTCAATAAAACATTTTTTAAACAGTATCACAATATAGTGTAACAAACAACAATCATTCACAAGAAATTCATGAATTTTCATATTTGCCAAATTAAAACAAATTACTAAAAATTATTATGAATGATAAATTTTTAAAGTTTTAAATATGTTACCTCCTTTTAAAGTTATAAAAAAATGAATAGGTGTGAAATATTTCATATTTTATTTATATCAAAATAGAATGAACCTGTACCTTAAAATTTTTATATCCAAAGTAGAAGAATCATATCATATAGTAAAGAATATATAATTCCATTTAAAAAGAAATCGTCATCAGCGAAAGAATCAATATCACATAACATTTTTCAAACTCTACAACTTTTGTGTAGAATATTTTTTTCGAAAATGCTTATTGTCTGAAATAGTAAAAAGTTTTGATCATTCGTACACTTTAAATATTTATTATAATTTTTACATAGTATTGAAATGTATATCATATATGATGAGATCATTCGTTTTACTAGCAAAACAAAATTTATTTTATTAAAAAAATTAAGAAATTTAAGTAAATATATATTTTTAATTTAAGTAATTATGTAGAAATATTGTAATATTGTTAATAAAGTATCGTACATTATATAAGAAAAAATGAAAAAGAATCAATAAAAAAATATATATAAAATATATATTTAAAGAATGTCATTAGTTAACTATTTTCATAAAATCTCTATAAATATGTCTCGATCTACCTGAACAACAATAAATGTTAATAGAATCGCGACAACCAGCATATTGTATAGCCATATGAGATATGACCGTTGATAAGGCCATAAGCCAAGTAACTTAAAAATAACGCGATAGATCTTGTAATAGCGCTCATGGAGTGCGTGCATTTTGCACAAGAGATGCGACATTATGTGAAAGAAATTTTTGTGAATTTAGAGTGATGTATATATATTCACATATAATTACAAGCAGAAAAGTCAATTATATTTTACCAATAAGACTATGTTTTCATAACGTAGTTAAGATAAATTAGTTTGAATTACAGCAATTTGTAATTGAGAATAATGTTTCTTTACTATACTTACTGGCCAATAGTTTGCGTATGCTTGCGCAAGCGCAGTTGATGACTTTTTTTCTTGGCAAAAGAAAGAGCTTTAGTTTCTTTCAGAACGTCATAAGATATCTTTCTTAATATCGCACTGCGAAATGCTTAAGTTTTATGAGGACATATTCATTCACAGATATATCTAATCTATATCTGTTGTAATTACTCTTTTTTGTATTAATTTTTAAGATACTTAAACTATAAAAAATGCTAGAAAATTTTTTTAACTATGACAGAAATATTTATTTTGTCTATCTATATCTCTATCTATCTGCCTATTAAAATAGATATTTACATAGGCTATAAATATGTATTACGTTTTAACTACATATAATTAATTATATAAAAATTAGTGGAGGAAATACGTGATACAAAAATAACGAGCCAATGTAGATGAACACTGAAAAATTTTAAATTTAATTTGAGTCAAATCACATAAATATTCATTTCAAAGAATTATTCAGAATGCATTAAAAAAGTTTTTTGTTTTATCAGTAAAAAAACGATTGCGAAAATATTATATTATAAAATACTATACTATGATAATTTATATTCCTATGTATCATAACTACTAATGTAAACATCTATGTATACATTTTTATTCAATGTAATTGTTGTAGACACTTTACTATTTTAAATATCACAACACATTAGAACTCTATATTCTTTCATCTGTTCATGTGTGTGATAATTGGTATGCTTCGTGATAAAGATGTATCAAATTTTTAATTTTCTAAATTATAAAGTATTATAAAGTATTATAAAGTATTATAAAGTAAATTTGATCATGAGTTGATGGAGTCATTAATCATAAATTTAATGTTTCAATATTTTACAATATTTTTCTATCACTTTAAACAATTTTAAATGTTTATTAATTAAACTGTGCAAATAAAAAAGATATGTAAAAATTATAAGAATTCAAATCATTTCAAAAAAGCATATAAAACTCATAGATTAAAGTTTATTGTTATCTCTTTTCCGCAATGCTGATTGATTCTCTCGTTGCGCTTATTTCGTGAATTACTGTCATCATGAAGATCGTTTTAACAGTTATATATATTGTATGTAATATCATATTAAAAGATTCAATAAATTCAATAATTTAAAAATAAAAAATTTGAATAAAGTTGTTTCTATTTTCATCGACATTATAATAAACAACCAATACAAATCTTTATATCATTTATTTTAATTTTGTTGTTAGAATCCCGTTGACAATTTATTTATTTTTTTTTAGAAAATCATTTATTTTATATTATTTATTTACTAAAATATTAAGAGTGAAAGAATACTCATTTTTTTAATATTCAACAATTTCTTTACATCGTATTTATATTGTATACATTCATCCATTTAATAATTGTCCAATGTCTAGTTTTTATTGCGTAGAATAAATTACCGTAAAGTAAGATATTGCCGCATTTGTAAGCTGAAAAAATATATCATCTTACATATTCTTAATTAACATTAAAATTTTATCATTAAAAAAGTATTAATTTTACCGTAGCGAAACCTTCCAAGGATACAACAAATATACCGCCACATGTTAGACCAATATTCATTGTTCCCTTTTGCATTATAAATAATAAGAGTTTTTGCGTATGCAACGGTGCTGCATACCACAATCCATTATAACTATAATTTTTTTGATATAAAAAAAATTGTTTATTTTAAACAATTAAAAAATTAACTATATTTTTAAGATAAGTAAGATAAGTAAGATTAATGCTAAGTTAATTGCATGTTGAGAGTGGATAATTATGCATATCAATTCGCACAAAGAGATTATATAAGTATATATATATATTCATAAAATCCATGGATTTTATAAATTTTTATTCTGAAAATATTTTAGAACACGATACTTACGTTGCTTTAAATAGCTTTAAACCATGATTCAATAATTCTTGTCCACCGTAATTAACAATAAACATATAATTCAAATGCAAGATTATCAATACGGCGATTATAAATGTTTGAGTGGTATTTTTCATTATTGTTATTAATTGAAGGAACTACGATATGATGTACGATATTACATAAAAAGGCAGTTGCAAATTATTCGAAGTAAGAAACAATATTACTTACTTGAAAAAGATTGAAAGTTAAAGAACTAATGCCAATTACGATCAGAATGGAGAATAATGTCGTAAAACTGGACGTCAAAAGTTCAGCAAACCTTTAATGAGGAGTTGTATACTATTGGAACTATCACATGAAACACATCGAATATAAATAGCACAAACTTCAACATATTTATTTATGATAATTTGTAATCTTGCATAATTAAAATATAACATTTTATATATAATTGCAAAATATTATGTTTTAGTTACAGGACAATGCTTAATATTACATTTTATTAAATATCATGTTATTAAATTGAAATATATTTTTAAAATAAATAGAAAATATTTTTTATTTATTTTATACCTAATTCATTTTAGTTTGAGTTTATATTTTAAATGCAAATTATAATTCGCTTGATGCATCGATAGATAAAATATTTAGCGTATTAAATATCTCATAAACATGTTATTTCGGAGAAATATAATTTTGCAGTCATAATCAATTACTTTCAATACATACTTTCAATAAATTATTAAAAAGATAAGAAATTCAATAAAAGTATTATAATAAAAATATAAAAATACTAACTTGCTGGCTCTCTGATGCATAACAACCGCATGTACAATTTTGCGATAAAGAATATATTCTCTTTGAGGACTAGGGATCATTAATATATTTTCCTCGATTGCATTTTCTATTCGACAACTACATAAATTTAAACATCTAATTTAAATTAGATTTAATCATCTAAATATATTCCAATTAACACAAATGCATTCTACATTACCTTGCAATTTCAAATAATGCACAGGCGTGCAAAATGCATATCATAATTGTCACACTAGTACCACACAATGCAGTTGTTCCTATTGTATAAGCTAGTCCCTCATGTAATAATGTAGCGTAAAAATATTTCTCCTGATTGATGAAATATTCCGTAATCACAAAAAGTTGACAAGGTCGTGATTCGTTTAAAGGTAAGATAATATCAAGAAATATCGGCAGACATTGAAATATTCCGCAAAGTAGTAATCCAAAATAGCAATATACTAGGAAATGATAAATTTAATGTAAATAAATATAAATTATTTCACAAAATTGTGTAAAAAATGTTAAAAATGATTTTAGTCAAAAAAAAATAATTGGAACAAATAATATTACGTATCATAAGATATTTGATAATAATCGTAGATAATTCGTATTCTTACCCATCACAATTATTGTAAAAAATCTCGCATTGCAAGCATATTTTTCTATAATATTAATTTCTAATTTATCTTTTAACGAACTCCAGTCATCTTGGATTTGCTCGAGTAGTTGCTTCAACTGTTTATTCCATATTTTTTCTTAACAATGATTAGAATGCAATTTATTCCACAAATTACAACAAAACATTCAAATAAATGTTGCCTTATCCTGTTAAACTTACATTGTCTGCTTGAATGATAAAAAGATAATATTTTATCACGTCGATAAGAATAGGAAAGACAAATGATAAAATCTGAAGGAGAAGACTCGTGTTGTATTGATTTGTAATGAATGCTAGTAACTAGAAATAATATTTAAAATGTGCATTGATTATAAACTGTTTCAGGAGAAAATATATAAAATGCATAAAAAATATATATATATATATATATATATATATATACCATGTTCCTA